CATGAAGGGAAGTATGTAGTGGGGTGCCCCAGGGCTCTGTTCTGGGCCCAGTGATCTTCAACATCTTCATCAATGATTTGGAGGGGATAGATGGGAACTCATCAAATTTGCAGATGACACCAAGCTGGCAGGAATACGCAACATTCCAGAAGACAGGCTTAAGATACAGGAGGATCTGGATAGACTTGAACACTGGGCACTATCTAACAAAATGAAATTCAATGGTGAAAAAAGTAAGGTTCTACATTTAGGCAAGAAAAACAAAATGTATAGGTATAGTAGGGGGTACCTTGCTCAATAGTAGTAACTGTGAGACGGATCTCGGACTCCTAGTGGACAATCACTTAAATATGAGCCAGAAGTGTGCTGATGCTGCCCAAAAAGCCAACACAGTGCTAGGCTGCATTAACAGAGGGATAGAATCAAGATCATGTGAAGTATTAATACCACTTTATAATGCCTGAGTAAGGCCACATTTGGAATACTGCATCCAGTTTTAGTCAGTACGATGCAAAAAAGATGTTGAGACTCTAGAAAGAGTACAGAGAAGAGCAACAAAGATGATCAGGGGACTGGAGGCTAAAACAAATAAAGATTGGTTGCTGGAATTGTGTATGTCTAGTTTAATGAAGAGAAGGATGAGGGGGCACATGACATATTGGCACCCCCAATATGTCAGGGGGTGCCACAAAGAGGAGGGAGTCAAGCTATTCTCCAAAGCGCCTGAAGGCAGGAGAAGAAGCAACGGATGGAAACTAATCTAGGAGAGAAGCAACCTAGAACTAAGGAGAAACTTCCTGACAGTTAGAACAATTAACCAGTGGAACAATCTGCCTCCAGAAGCGGTAAATGCTTCAACACTGGAAATTTTTAAGAAGAGACTGGACAGCCATTTGTCTGAAATGGTATAGGGTTTCCTGCCTGAGCAGGGGGTTGGACTAGATGACCTCCAAAGTCCCTTCCAACTTTATTATTATTGTTGTTGTTGTTATTATTATCACAATGGCTGTTCTAAATTACAACTCTAGCAGCATAAGCCAGAGTGGCCAGGACTGATGGATGCTGGGAGATGTAGTGCTACAAATTGCATAATTTATACACCAATATATTGAACTTTAAGCTAGATCTTAACCAGACATTGACCATGCCATGTCATTACAATCCAACATAAATTAGGAAGGAGACATCAATTCTGTTGATTCAAATCTCCTTCCTAATTTATGTTGGATTGTAATGACATGGCATAGTCAATCTTGTAAATATACAGTATAAAAGATTTAAATGGTGTAAACAGTGGAAGCAGAATATCAAACAAAATATGAAATCCAGCCTTGCAGTGTTGCAAAAACCTCTGGACAGTTTAGGGCTTGTTGCTGCTTTGTTTTGCCCTCTTGTTTTTGAAACGTGGCTGTTTATTGTACCTTTGTCTTTGGTCACACTATAGTAGCAGTCAGATAGCATATCTGAGCTCATTTTGCATACTGAATAAGAGGCATTCTATTTGTAGTCTAAATGATAGGTGGGATGATACTAGAACAGCAATCTTTGAAAAACTGAATATTCATTTAAATATAACAATATATATCTCATCTTGTACAAGTCACAGCTATTTCATGTTTCAGTGAAGTTCTAGCCCCAGTGAATTTGGCCTTAAATTAAGACTATAATTATAAGAATATAATTTAAAAGATAAAAGTGTAAGGTAGTAAAACTTGTGTATATTGTGCCAGAAGAAGAGACAATTTTATTTAAAATAATTGGGAAGATTTAAAAAATCCATTCATCTCAAACAATATTGTTTATGAAAGCAAACAAACAGACCAGAAGAATGATAAGGATTTAAATATATATACTAGCAGACCAAAACAAAAAGACTTATTTTACCAAATGGTGAATCTGATTTTCATTGTACCGCTGGAAAAAAAAAATTATTGGTACCTTGGAGGCACAACTGAACCTCTTGACCTTCTGGAGGGCAAGTAGTAACTTGAATTTTTTAGTCCTTTTTGCTTTGGGTGAGGGTTAGAAAAGGAACAATACTGACAGAAGATTCTGCTACTAATTTGTTTTCACCGTGAACTGAGATTTCTGCATGATTAGAAAACAGGTTGCTAGAGTTCACCTTTAGTCCCAGTCGACTATGTAGCATATATAGAACTTTGCTATAGTCAGCCAATATTTTGCTTAGGTATATATACAACTTTGCAGATCTGATCATCATAGGTACAGCTAAATTTAGGCCCATAGGTACAGTTTGAGCCTTCACAAACTGCAAGAGGCTGTCAAAATATGCTTTGTTTCTGTGTGTATTCACACTTTCTTTGCAAAGAAGGACTTTCTCTGCCCCACCGTGCATTTATTATCCATCTTGATAGCATTCTATTATCGTAGAATAGAACCGAATGGAACCCCTATGCTTGCCAAAGCTTAGAGCCCTTCTATGTCTACATTCAGTCCCAATTGTTGGGGTAGTCTGGGGGCGTGGGTGTTCTGGAAATTAATTATTGAAATGACTAATCATGTTCCAGACAAAACAAGACTATTCTATAGGTGTAGCTGCAGTGGTGGAATTCAGCCAGTTTGCACCACTTCAGCAGAACCGGTAGCTAAATTTTTGTTGCCCAGGCCCAGAATAGACTTCCAGAAGTGGCATCCACACAGAGCACATTTCCTTACAGAAATCCATGATTGCATACCTTTGTGTTTGCACAACACAATAATAGAAAAAGGAGCTCATTAAACTTACAGATTTAAGTTGCACTTAATTCCCTGGGAAATCAATTAGAAGTTAAGACATGCCACATTTGCTTTATTATTTCAAAGCAACCTAAGCCTAACTAACATAGCCTACACTTTGCCTGAAATAAGATTTTTCCACTTTGAATTAACTGAAGTAAAACATAAGGAAGTTGGCTCTATTTTATTTGTCTAAGTTTTAAAAGGGAGTGAGAAATTTTAAAATATATTTCAAATCTCCCCATTTTGGTTTCCCTTTTCCTTTCTCTATCTGTTACGATAGGTTATGATAGGTATTACGTAACATTGGCTCTTACATTCTGTTTAAGAAAGCCTTATCCCAGAAGCACACCCATAGATTTCCAAATAAAATACATCTTACATCAAACTGTTACCAAATGGCTGTGCTAACAAATCGGCACATTGAAACAGCACACTGTGTGCTGTTTTGTTTGATCCTTTAATTCAATTCTCAGTGGTGAAGCTAAGTAATAGGTTTCCAGGTAGATGATCATATGAATACAAAGTCTGTAGACTAGACTGGGAATTTGAAAAGGCAGCTAAAGGTAGCTAAAATAACCATATAGATATGTGCACAGTCGTTAGGAATCAAGCTTAATTCAAAGGTGATTTCACTTTTAAACAATGGATCTAATGCAAGGTTTACATAGATATTAGAATTAATTTTTATTTCAGTATAGATTTCTTATGGTGAGCCTGAGATTAGAGACAAATAAGTCCAATTACTTGTTAAATATACATTTCTTAACATTTACAGTTGTTCTGCAAGTCATGGCTTTGTAATTGTGGATATCAACTCAAAATATGATAGGCAAAGGATGATAGGAACTGTCTAATAACATACAGAGATCCAGTAGTTTCCGGACCTGAATTTAAAATTTTACATTTGTATGCATGGAAAATTTGAAAGCTTGATTAGTGCACTTCTATAACTATTTTTTAAAACATCAAAGTAATAATATAATTGTTATCATTTATAATAATAAGAATCAAGTGTTTTAAAGGTTTTCATAGTTTTGACATGCCCCTTAAATGTTCATAGACTAGTCAATGATATATAGTGATTTAGTGCATGATCTGGGACTATGGATAGTTCTGAAATATAATGTGTTTAGAATACAAGATGGTAAGGGGGAGACAGATATATTAAAAACATGACATCTTTTTAGAAAATCAGCACTTCCCTCAATTTGGGCACTTTGCTGCTGCAAATTTGGAAATCAATAGTTTTATAGAACTTTATATTTAATGTTTTGAACTGCTTGTTAAAAATAACTGGTAACTAAAGTAAACTTAATTTTCAACAAACTGAATAGACTAATGAACCAAAGGTTTTTTTTTACTAGAAATTTCATCAATCCATAAGTACAATTTGGTTTTTCTTCAGACCAAAACTATGCCTCTAGGAGAGAAAACAGATCACAGAACTTGGTATCTTTGTAATTAATTTCAAAGCATTTGAAAACCTGCCCAGATTATATTTCTTCATAAATAAATATGAACGACAGAGGGAACAGAGAGAGAAAGGGAGTCAAGCAAATAGCAAATCTAGCTTCTAGGAGAAAGAAATGTTCATTAATCATTATGATTGGGATAGATCTTTTATCAAAAATAAAATAGGAGTTTTTAAAGAGGAGGACATTGTTTTGCGTTTTGGAAAGATCTGTAGTATTTCCAATATTCAACAAACAATAAAAAGATAAAATAAATAATATTTTCAAACTCCCACATCTGTAAAGACTGCTCATATATAAAACACCTCAAACAAATGTACATATTTACTGGCACTGTCTCACATTTGGAAGAAGGTAAACTCTAAGCAGCAATCATCTTAAGAAATATTGAGTGCTGACCAAAAGATAATATTAAAACAGTCCAAAACATTCCTTATTTCTCAATTAAAGTTGAAATCCACAAAAAAATCTACAGTACCTGAAAATGCCAACCCATGCTGATCATTATATAAATAAAATGACACATCTATACACAATGGTATACAATTAAAGGTTAAAAAAAATTCTAAAAGATGGATGAGACCAGAGAAAATTTAAATAAATAGTAGAATGGAATGGGATATACCAAAGTGGGCATATTAGAAATATGAACACAAAGTCCCGTAACATTTTGGTTACAATATAGATTTCTAAAAATATTAAAATGAAGCCTAGGATAACAGGTTGCTATAAAATTAAAATCAAGTAAAAGCTAGCATAATCACTGAATAGGATGATCACATACTATACCTCGGCAGCCTCTGAGCAAACTGGCCCAAACAAAGCAGAAACGTTTTCTTTTTGAACTTGATTGATGAAAGCTTGGAGGGACTTCTTAGCATCACAATTGCAGTCACCATATACATACTCCAGTTTGTAGTAGTATAGATAAGATGGATCTGCATTGACTTTATTAATGGCAATCTCAAAAGCTGAGGTTAACCTTTGGGCACTTAAAGGATGGGAGATATTGCAAGGAGCCTGAAAAGCTACTATGAGTTTGGGCCTTTCGGTACCAAGGATTGTATTACAGGTACTCAAATATATAGTCAAAGGAACAAAAATGATTGAACTATAGTAAAGGGAAATTGAATACCATGAGTATTTGCTAAAGTACTGCAGCATTATGGCAAGAAATATTATGATACCCTTGTAGACCTCTCATTGTTCTTTCTTTTATGTTGTTTATATTTGTGCTTTAAATTATGATATCAACACCTTTGTCATGCATCAAATGGTGCTAATTAACTGAATCCTTGATCACCATAGTAGCTAGTTTCCTTGCAATAGCATCCTTGTGTTTGGAGGAATAATTTACTGCAAATCCTTGAATTTGTTTAATTCTGCCTTAGTATGATACAAGAAACAAATCATTTTAAGTGATTGATGTACAAAATCATTTCACTTTTGTGTATGGTTGTTATTTCATAAATATGATGAAAACATATTTTTGAAATCTTGGATGTAACATGAACAAAAGATTTTCACATAGCTGAATGATCCTCATACTGTCCCTAATCAAATTCTGATAGTAATACACCAATCAGTTATCTTCCTTGAAATCAAATTTAAATCAAATGTGTGTGTGTGTGTGTGTGTGTGTGTGTGTGAAAGAGAGAGAGAGAGAAAAAAAAGAGAGAGAGAGAGAGAGAGAGAGAGAGAGAGAATTCTTAGAAAAGATTTGTCTTTCTTCTAAATGAACTCTAACTACAAATTTAATTTATGATCAATGTTACTGCTTACAATATCTTGTCTTTTGATCTTTAACCTTTCCTGGGTATTTTTCATTTTAAACAAACTGAAAGAATTGGAAGTATAATATGACTATAGTTAGTTAGCAAATAAAAATTGTTTGCTTCCCTTGATCATGTATAATTTCTTAGATGTGACAGTTTATTTACAGCAGGAATAGGCAAACATTTTAGACTGATCTGAACATTTGAAATTTTAGATAGCATGTTATGTATATTCTAAGAAAATGGTTGCCACAGGATAGAATTTCTTATTAAAATATTAAAATAACACCAAGTGATGGAAAGACACAACTAAATTTAAGAAAAGATAAACTGGTGAGGTGGCTACATGCAAATTCTCTCTGCCCTGCCCAGGTTTCTCTACCTCTCTACCCCTCTACCCCAGGCATATTCCCAAACAAAATACTGGGCTGAAGCCCTGAAATGTTTTTATTTTCTAAGAAGGGCCCAAAGACATTTTTGGAAATAAAGATGATCTTTGACTGCCACATTGCTTTCTTCAACATCCCACCTTTCTATTTGTTATTAACTTCAAGAACCTTTCAAAACAAATGAAGGGGGGAAGAAGACTGGTAACCATCAAGGAATATTGATTCCTACTGGCACCATACTGTATCTCAGTATAAGAGGAGTTATCAGAGTCCCATATGAATAGAATTGGGACTGAGGGTGAAGATTACAAGTCCTTGCTTAATGATCAGTCACTTAGTGACCATTCAAAGTTATGAAGGACCTACTCAGAGCTACTTATGACCCAGGTCCAGAGCTTTGACCCAGTTCCAGAGCTTTGACCCAGTTCCAGAGCTTTGACGACCACACACATCCTGCAGTCAGATCCCGTTTGGAGCTTTTGGCAATTAGCTCACATTTACAGCTGTTTGTAGCATCCCACAGTCAATAGGCTGTGATTTTGATAGTTTTTGCTGTTTCCAGCATTTATTTCTAGTTTCTGGCAAAAAAAAAAAATGCTCTTTGGGAAAACAGATTCTTTTAATGACTGTGGCATTCACTTAATGACTACAGAGTTCACTTAATAACCACCACAAAAAAGACCATAAAATTGAGCATGGTCACATGGTGATCTGTTTAATGACTGACACAACTTACAACCATAATTCTAGACTCCATTATGGTCATAGGTTGAGGACTACCTGTATATGCCATCAAGTTGTTGTTGACTCTTATCGACCAAATAGATAGACTTTTCCATGATGCTCAGTCCCTACCATGGTCGTTCGGCTCTTCCAATGGTGCATTCATCAGTGCTGTAACTTAGCAACCTGATCATTCTCTTCTTTCTTTCTCCTTTCTCAGCATTACAGACTTTTTCAGAGAACTAGGTCTTCACATAATGCACCCAAAGCCTGGTTCTTTGTGCTTTTAGTGAGAACTTTGGGTTGTTATGTTTGATGTTCCATTTGTTTGTTTACTTGGCTGTCCATGGTATTCCCAGGAGTTTTTTCCAACACCAAAATTCAAAAGCAACAATACTCCTTCTATTTTGCTTCTCCAAAGCCCAACTTTCACTTCCAATCAGAGGGAATACCACCTGGTATAATAGGCAAATCTGAATATATGTGGTGGAAAGTAGTTTAGAATTGCAGGAGGGAGAGGCCCTTTGCCAGACACCAAAGAGACAGTGAACCTTGGAATCTTGGGTGTACAGGAACAGGGGGAAGATGGACCTTCCCTAGCAAATCATAGAGTATATCTAATGGTTAGGCAGATTGTTGTATTAGTCTGGCAAGATTTCTGTCAATAGGTGAATGCATTAACAAAAACTACTCAGAAGTAGCTCCATGTGTTCTTGGTTCCTTGAGTCTAACAATATGTCTAAGACTGAATGTAAGAACTGAGTCAGGTTTATAAATAACAAAGAAGAAGAAAAAGCTAAATGGCCAGGTGCTAAAACCTAGGAAGACCTCACTTCGAAGAGATTTTACATTTATATTAGTTTGTTTGTTTGTTTGCTTGCTTGCTTGCTTGCTTGTTTGCTTATTTATTTATTTAATTTGTATAGACATCCATTCTAAAAACCAAATATACAAACCTAGACAAAGATTGAAAATCCAACCTCAGCAGCATCTTCGATACCCTGGGAACTCTAGGCCTGGCAATATAACCAGATATTGAGAGTGTTCCAGAATGTTAACAGGAATGGAACTAATTTAATTTTGGGGGAAGAATGTTCTAAAAGGTAGGTGCTCTGGCAGAGAAGACCTGGACCATGTGACCACTAAACATATGTCCTTAGCTGAAATGCCTATTCTCCTTTGCCAGATTTAATGGGGCAGGCTGATGTAACTGGGGAGAGGTTATCCCTCAGATAACCTGATCTCACGCTTTGAAGGGCTTTAGAGCAGTGGTTCTCAACCTTTCTAATGCCACAACCCCATAATGCAGTTCCCCATGTTGTGGTGACCCCCAACCACTTATACATCACCGGGTGCCAGTGCCATGGCCAAAGAAAAGGGGGAAAAGTGGCGGACAGCCTTGTTTGGCGACCCCCGTGAAATGGTCGTTCGACCCCAAATGGGGTCCCGACCCACAGGTTAAGAACCACTGCTTTAGAGGTTAAAACCAGCACTTGATTTCAATATAATGCAGATCATAAATCACACATAATTGCCCAATGCTTCTGGATATTCCTCAAGGGCAGTCCCACGTATAGCATATCACAGTAGTCCAGTCTGGAAGTGACTAAGGCATGAGTGACTGTGAGCAAGGCCTGCTAATGCAGGAACAGATGCAACTGGCACACAAGACAAAGCTGTGCAAAGGCTTCATGGCCACAACTGCTATCTGTTCATCTCTTCAGACTGCAGTACAACTCCATCCAGCACTAAAGTTGTCATAGTGCTAGAATCTGGGGGCCCCCAAACCCAGAGCCAGACACTCTTGCCAGGGTTCAATTGAAGCCTGTTGTTCCCCATCAAGACCTTCACAGCCTCCAGGCACAGGTATAAGATGTATCATGTTCCAAGGTAGAGGGAGGTTCTGGTTTAAGTCCCCATTCAGTTAAGATTTCATTAATCATTTGCAAAATATTTGAATGGTCTTTAGAAAACTAATGAATGTAGAAGACCACCATATATAGATTGACAATAGGATTCTACATGCAAAGACTGCTGTAATATTTTTCCCTGAAACTTTTATATTTCCCTGAAATTTTTAGATTTTTGCACATACTACAGGAAGGGGTACTAAGTTGCTCTATGACTTGCAGCTACTCTCCATGCATCTCTAACCCCAATTTCTAATGAAAAATATACAAAATTTGCCCCCCAAAATGTGTATAATTTCTGTTATTTCGTGGGTAAATTGCTGAATAAAAGGGAAAAAACCTTTCAAGTCAAATAAAAAAGTGAATTAGAATACCGCCTGTACTATATTTTCAAAGCCTTTATTGGTTTCACAACTATACATTCTATGAATTTAGAAAGTGTTTGCATAAACTTTATTGCCAACTGACACTTCATAGTGTCATATTTCTCTCATATTTCTCTCACTGTGTAATAGGCTAGATCCTACCTTTGAACTTAACATGCTGCTTCAAAACAGCTATCGTTTGCATTAAAGCAGATGGAACAATGATAACTAAGCCGGATCAGATATAAGAATCATTTATGAAATTCGTAGACTTTAAACGTTGGTGCTGTGCTAGATAGGACAAACTCTTATTTCCTCTTCTGTTTCTGCAACTACAAAAGAGGTAAGTCAAGCAATTAAGTTTCTTCTGTTTATTAAAAGTATTAAATTATTGAAATAGTTATTTTTATTTATATATCATACTGTATATATGTTTGTGTGTATATACTATACCATACCATACCATACCATACCATACCATACCATACCATACCATACATACCATACCATCATAGTACATTATGGTATATTATCATGTTGTATTGTATATTTAAAAAAAAACAAAGTATAACATATAGTTTTTATTTTGTTTTTGTTTTGTGCCTTTGAGCGACTACCTGGAATAATCTCTGCAGTTTTCTTTCCAAGTTTTTTTCAGAATAGTTTCCCTTGGGCATAGTTTATTACTGGTCTCAATTTAAAATTATTTTTGTTTATAAATTTAAAAAGAATTCAAGGGAGTCTTTGATGAGGGAA